GGGGGGGGGGGGGGGTTGACATCTGCCTAGCTACTATTGGTGACTTTCAGGTACAACCCCAGTGGCTTCTGGTCACCAGTCACTGCCCTTTATAATCATTTTAGTTTGCGTTGCTGCACTGACATGACACCTGGCTTCACAACCCCCTAGGGTTACAGTTAGAACAGGTCTCATCCTGGCTCCCTAGGTTCCCCTCCCTTGCGAAACAGTGCTGGACCTTTTTCAAAGCATGTGAACATGCATTCAGTCCTCTTGCATGACAGTACTCCATAGCACAAAAAGTTGATCTTTTAAAAAAAACTATTGGAAGTGTGAATCCAATGGCACTAACTCTTCAGTACCTCATGATTTACTAACCACAAGGAGGCAGTGGTGTGTAGCTAGAGAATTATGGGAATACGCTGTGTCTCCTCTTTGTCTATCACTCTGTTCTTTGTCTAGGAAAACAAAGTGCTAATTTGAGGACACTTCCATCTGTCTTTCTTCCCAGTAGACACTCAATTAGTGCAAGCTCTTTGACTATAGGATGCAGTTAGCTAGGTGCTAGGCTTTGTTATGTCCCTATGATGCATTTCCTGTAAATAAACTCTTTTCTGTTATAGTCATGGAAATTGCTTCAATAATCCTTGCTCAGATTAGTTTCTTGCTCTCAGGCACACTCACAAGCACGCACAGAACAGTTCAGCCTCCAATAATAATAATAAGTCTAGCTTTCTGGGCAAAAAGTTGATGTCACCAGGAAAGACGATGTTTCTAGTACTACAGTTCCACTGTTGCTTCTGCCAATAAGGGATGTTGTTGTTTTTAATTTGTTGGGGGCAGGGAGTCCCATTTTGCCTATATGAAAGACTTGTTGGTCACTCACTGCCTGGACTATCACCCTCCAGCTTTGGTAGCTCGGGCTGCTGTGGTGATAGTGAGATAGCAACTGTTGTGATTGTATGGAGGCCAACCTCAAACGTGTCCTCTGGTGATTTCCAGGAGCTGCCAGCTATGTGGCCAGAACTGGACTCGCTGCCAGTGCTGCCATTCCTACTTGAAACTCCAAAATCCTAGTCACTCACCATCCTCTTGAACAGCAACCACTGCAGGAGCAAAGGAGATGATTCACAGATGGGAAGAAAGCATATTAAAGCTGCCCGGATGATACAAGTGGCATAAAAAGAAATCCTTTGAAAACGATTAGAGTTTTGCCAATAAAACGGTAGGAGAAGCATAGTGACTTTTATTGTATAGTGATGCAAATATTTAAATGTCAACCAGTTTCTTTTCAACTGGTTAGGCTGTACTTAGCATCTGTTTCACAACAAAATGTGAATCGGAGATATAGGCATTCTGTCTCAGCTAAGCTCATTAGGAGACCTTGCACAGATCCTACTGGAAATCAAACTT